CCACTACCCTTTCTACTCCGATGTTATACTGTCGAGACTCTACTCCAGTAGTAGTACCGTGGAGCAAGGTGTGGCCAGTTAGGGTAGTGTGAAATATGAAAATGGTCAAGGGTCTCATGAACAGGACTCTTGTGCTGTAAACCCGTCCCTGATAGGGGGAGCGTGGGACCACGTAGGTTAACCTAGTAGCTATCTGACACACGAGGGATCGCTTCCCCCAAACTTTGGCGACATTATGGTCCCGTGGGAGGGCTCGTCAGCTAACCCCCATGGATGATGATTAGATTCAGATCTAGCTATAATGACTCGCAGCTTATGAGGTCACGTCTCAAATTTAGAACACTGGTCATTCATTGCATAAGCAAGACAAGCCACCTAAGTCATAGAAAAGAAAGATAAAAAAACTAGTACATATCGTAGGGGTACACTTCAATCCAAAGACTCGCTTAGAATGTTGGGGTACCCAGTTGCTTAGATAGCATTGAAACCTAGGTCCGAACTTCCTAGAGCCTAGAGTAAAGCTCGTGGATGCTTACTAGGTTAAGGATGCGATGAGAGCCTACAAATAGGTTGCTTAGTGAGTATTTTTATACTCACCCCCCTTTCCTCTTTCTTTTTTAGGTGTTCGTAGGCTGCTGGTCGAGGTGGAGAAGCGTTTAGCGGTCACAGAGGAGGTCGTTCCGGAGCGTCAGTCCATTTTAACTATTGATTGAACTTTGTTTAAATCCTAACCGGCAATTGTTGATACACAAAATTTAGTACTGGAAAAGAATGCTTGGAAGTTAAGAAACGAAAATAAGGTGAAGCAGAACAGAGGGTGAATAACATTATAAACTAAGACCACTTCGTTACTCAATGTTTGTGATGATATTTTTACAAACATTACATGACAACATATTACACTCATTCAAACTGAACCGTACTAAAAAGATGAGTGGAGTATGAGCTAATTACAAAAATTTAGTACACAAGTTTAGGCTCAAACTCCGCAAAATCAACAGATCCAGACTCAATCGGAGGCATCAAATATGCAGCCAATATCTCAGACACCAATGCTGCAACAAGTGGGATCCTCTTCAAGTTCTTCACTAGAGAACCCTCATTGGTTTCTCCAACAGCAAGCAGCTTCTCATTGATCTCAACCATCCTGTCCAGTTTCCTCTTGAACTCGGGATTCTCCACGTCCGGTACGGCTGGGAAAATTCTCGCCGTCGTGCGGTTGGTCTGCGTTTACAGAAGTAATATGAGTTTGGTTATCAAACAGTTCAGTCCTATATTGTTCATCTAACTAGGCAGATAGACATTGTTGATAACTAGAAGAGGATTTAACAGTTTCATTGAATTTTTGTTTGAAGATCAGAATATTTCTCAAACATGGCGTATGAATGAACTATGTAGATCACAAGCTTACCTCAATGATAACATGCATGTCAAATTCTTTTGTGTTAAGGCCAATTCCTTCATAGAATGCTGTTCTTTGGCAATCATTGAGATACATTGTCACGTACACCTGCAAAATATTCATCAAGAGACAACAACACGATTCATATTGACAATGATTTTATTTTTGGTATGGTAACTTTTACAAATTAACCTCATAAAAACTACTCATAACTAAACTTTCTTTACTTGGTCTTCCACTTCTTGAAAACAAAGTAGTTTTTGAGTAAATAAGCATGGCATTGAAGAACAGATTGTCACGAAAACATTATTCTTTCCATTAGTTGCTGTCAAGTGTAGAATTCTACTAAAATATTGGGAAGGACGAGTAATGGCGAATTACCGATAAGCAGAAGAAGCGGGACCAGAGCTTAGCTTTCCAATCATTGAGGAACTGAGGCTGTGCCTTGAGCAATGCAGAGAAGAAATCGCCATGCCTGTTCTCATCCTGGCACCAGTTCTCAAAGTACTTGAAAATGGGATAGCATTGGAACTCAGGGTTGGCCTTGAGATGTCTGTAAATGGTTATGTATCTCCAGTATCCAATTTTCTCAGACAAGTAAGTTGCATAGAAGATGAACTTGGGCTTGAAAAATGTGTATTTTCTAGCCTTTGTCAGGAATCCCAAGTCCAATGCCAAGTTGAAATCAGATAAACCCTTGTTCAGAAACCTGTAATTAAGTTATAAGATGAACAAACTTAAAACAATTTCACTGTAATGCTGATCTGAAATTTGGCTTTCGTATTTTTAGTCCTATATTTTCAAACATTGTTTTAGTTCTGAACTCTATGTAAAAACAAACCGGTTTAGCTATTTCTTGGCAAAGACTTGTGCAACGTTATTTCTAATGAGTAGATCTTTCTACCTAGACAAATGACACATCTACTAACCAAGTATTTGAATGTCAAATGTGTACATATCTATGTTCAACCCTGGAAATATTAGCATCAAAAGCTAAAATAAGTATTTATGCAAATTTTAATGACTAAAATTTAATATTTAAAAGTTGAAGAACAAAATATTTGAAAATTAAACTAACACAAGTGTTACTTAAATAACCATTTCGTTATTAAAACCTGTGCTTGTTTTGTCATAATTTCTCTACATGAGTTCATCTTACTTAGAAAACATTTAATATTTAGCCAAATTCCAAAAAACAAGAAAAACTTTACTTGGTTTTAGAAAACATACATAAAAAGTAAATAACAAAACAAAAAAAATCCTAGTATTTATAGACTTATTTTCAAAAATCAAATGGTTGTGGAAGTTCAAGAGGCTTAATATGTTATATTTGCAGTGTCCTTACATATCAATAAAGGAAGCTTACGGTATGGTTTAGAGGCTATAAAATATAAAATCAGTACATACCCAGCATGCCTGGCTTCATCCCTTGACATCAGGGAGAAAATCTCTGCCACCACTGGATTAGTTTTCTGGAACACAAAAAAAAATTGGCCAAGTGAGATAGAAGGAAGATTATTTTCCTTACACAGTGCTCAAGTTTAAGTAAATATGATAGATAAAATATGATTTCAAAGTGAAAATCAGCTTATGATTTGGAACCGCAGAAGCCATTCTGCAGTAGAATTCAACAATAGAGAACAAACTATACAGTCAAATGACATACCATCTATTCTCTTACATGAAAACTAAAGTTTGGTTGCTGTAATACAATGTTGGTCTAACTCGAAGTCAAATTTAATTTCTGTCTCTAGATTTTTGGCTTCTTACGTTTTAGAATTATCTCTATAAAACCTCCATACTTCAATTTGTTCATCACTTATTAAACAATGGTAAGATCTTAGTCAAATTTCAAAAGGAAAAAAAGATCCTTAAAGGTTGATTTTCAATTTTTTAAAATAACAAACTAGCTATAATTTTTTTTAAAAAAAAGTTACGAAAGCAGATTAGGAAACCAAGAGAAAGGATAGAAATAAACCTAATTTCTAAAAGCAGAAAGCCAAAAACAAAATCATTATCTACTTGAATTCTAAACAATAGCTCTATAGTCTCCACTGCATTTGTTTTGAAAACTCTTTTCAACGCAAACTATGGTGTATTTTCAAGGATAAAGTACTTAAAAATACCACAATTCACAGCCACAGACCAACCTGTCAAAACAAATAGTACAGTACTTAACAAATTGTTTCGTGATTTTTGAAAAAAAAATTCCACACCACTCCAAAATCAACTTCAAAAGCACAGTAACAATTCATTCTTAAAGTTCATGACCAGTACCTTAAGCCTCCTTCCCAGCTCCTTGTAGAGCAAAAACCCCGAAAACTCAGCAGTGCAAGACCTCTCAAGAAACTCCACAAAGATTTGCCTGAGAGCACCTTCCATTTTATCAGCAGCTTCCTTGAACTCCTTGTTCCTCACAAAATGCGTCTGATTATAATCAGTCTTGAACTCCTGGAGCAAAGCCTCAAACTCTGCCTGGTTCAAGTTCTTGTTGATTTCCGTGTTGAAGAGAGTCTCCATCTCGTCGAAATCGGTAGTGTAGAACCTCGGCGTCAGAAGCGTCTCCTTAATCACAGCCTTGTTGGCATTCTTCGAGGGCTTCGGAGGCGATTGAGAAGTAGTTGCAGACATTTTAATGGCAGTGAATTTGGAGTAAGAGAATGGAATTGCTCTCGTTCTAGGGCTTCCGAATTCAGACCTCCTGCTACAGAACTTCGACATCGGCTTCACAAGAGCCATCTCGGCGGCGGCGGCGGCCATGGAAGAGGAAGCTTCCTTGGAGGGCCTACGATGGCGGATGGGGGGAATAACAGAGGAAGAATGAGAGCTCTCAGTGGAGAGTTAGAAATAGAGGCTCTGATATATGCATGTGAGGATAGTGACATAATATTTTTCATCCAATGAATTCCAAGATTTTGTTGAATGATATTGACACGTGGCGTTCCAGCATTGGTTTATCGGATTACTCTTTCGCGTTGATAATACCACGTCAGCAAATAATTTTGTGGTTCCCATTTCTTTTTATTTTTATTTTTTAAATTTTATTTGAAGCGTGTGGTTGTCATTTCACTGCGCGGACGTGGGCTTCTTTCCGGTGGTATATTCATATAGGCCGAGTTATTGGGCCGAGCTATTGGGCCCATTTCTATTATCTTCTCTCTCTCTCTTATATATATATATTTTTTGTATGGAAATGATTTACAAAATTTGGTTTCTAAGTCTTTATTTTCTTTATTTTTTGTTCTAATTTATAGTAAAAAAAACAAGGTAGGGATCACATGAAGGATTCTCTCCGATATTGGGACTAAGAATGTATATGGGTTGGGTCGGGTTGATAAAATCTTTAGAATCGATTCGAAATTTTGGATTGATCGAGTCCTATAGTCAAGATTTTAATTTCTCTAAATTATGGGGATGGAATTTATAATTTAACCCTAAAATTTTTATTAGAATCTTAACACAAGAAGGATAAAATATAGAGTAAAATTGAAGGCTAAAAGAACGCCATCGATCCTCTATCAAATACGCTCGCATTTCAAATCTTTATACAATGAAATGTTGTATATTAGGTTAAAATATATATATATATATATATATATATGTTACACAAATCACAATGTTGAGCTCAATAAACTATTGTAAAGGTACAAGTATTTTCAAATTCTCTTGGGACTGAGTCAATTCAAAGCGTAGATTTAGGACAACATAGAAATGAAGAGGAAAATGAAGCTGATCCTACACACATTACTTACAAATCATTTCCTCATCAAATCCACTCCCAAATCCGTTTTAGAGTTGATCCCTAGTCAAAACAAGTCGACATCGACATTGACATCCATGCTCAATCCGTCGTCTGCTATCGTTATCGTTTTGGAGGAAATATCTCCACGAGACCTGAGAAAAAAGTATGTGAACGTCATACAACATGAAAAAAGTTGATTTCGTTTGTAGATTATGGTACTGGATTTTCAAAATGTTCATATCATCTAAGAACCCAACCAACCCGAACTACTCAATTGAGGTTACATTTTTTTTCTTTCGGTTTGGGTTGGGTTAGGTTAGTTCTCGAGTTGACATTGTCATGGTCAGGTCAACTTGACCAGCCCAAAAATCGAATTACGAGCCAACCTGACCTTACCCTATCCGACTCTTAAAATATTATGAAGATTAAGAATATTTGACGTTTGTAGTCAATGTTAGTAATGCATTGTGGCTTGTGAATGATATCTAACAACCCAACCCAAAAATAGAGGGTTGGGTGCCGGATCCAACCAACCAAAAATTTCAAATTGGTTCAAAAGATTTCTTCAACCCAACTCGCGTAAGCTCCTAGCAAATTTAGGTTTAGAACACTATGATTAAACATGGTGATGTTTCATCTAACCGGAACAACGAACACGAGAAAGTTTTCATAAAAAAATAGAGGGTTTGGGTTGGGTTGTGACTCTCTTCGGGTTTCTCGAGCCATTGACCCAACCAATCCAAAATTTCAGGTTGGTCCAAAAGATTTCTTTAACCCAACTCGTGTAAGCTCCTAGCAAATTTAGATTTAGAACACTATGAATAAACATGGTGGTGTGGTGTTTCATCTGACGAGGACAACGAACAGGAGAAAGATTTCATAAAAAATAGAGGGTTAGGTTGGGTTGTGACTCTATTCGGGTTGCTGGGGTCACTCTGACCCAACCAACCCGAAATTGCAGGTTTCATCTCCTAGCAAATTTAGACTTAGAACACTACGAATAAACATGACAGTGTTTCATCTGATCGGGACAACAAATACGAGAAAGTTTTCATCAACGGGAAACATTGCAGGAGAAGCAAGAAGCAGTACCTTTGTTGTCTCCAAGAATGTTGGTGGTAATGAGATTGGATTACAGTGCTACTACTGAGTTCTCTTATCCTTCAAATCGCTTAGCATTGAATTTTGTAAGCCCCGTTCTTGCACAGAAGGGAACGCATAGGCAATATTTCGATCTACGCCATCCTTTTTCTTCAAATCATCATTGATATCAGCGTAGTCCAAATTTTGCAACATATTAGGAAGCTTCATGCTACCTTCCTTTGGAAACATCATGTCCATTTCCAAGTCAAATTTATCCTTTGATATCATGAACCCTCTCTCAGTTCCTGAAGTACTGTATTGTAGGCTCGCATCCTCGTCTTCCGCTACCCATGCTCGGAAATCAATCATCGAAGGAGGGATCTTAGACCAGAACACATCCTTCAGGTTTCCCAGAAGCCCTTTCGTAAACGGATTGACCTTCTTATCGTATCGGTAACGAAAATTTTCATAGGTCGTCTGCAAAAGATCAGCAGTCATCGCAACAAAAAGATAGTTTGTTACATACAAGTATGCTTTTAGATATCACAGTCAATCCCCACAAAACGAGTTTATATTAATATTGATTCAGTGCCAAGCATGCTTTGTCAAGTCCTTTTCGAGAAAGGTATTCTAACTTCAAAGGCAGGTGAGCCGGGTTGAGAAGGGAAGAAGTTCATCATAGATCACGTATTCAAATGCCAGAAAACTATCCGCGAGGGGACTCCTCTATTCTATTTTGAGAAAGGTATTTCAGCTTCAAAACAGGTGAGCCGGGTTGAGGAGGGAAGAAAAGAGAAGTTTAAGAGTTTATATGAGAGTAAATTCATCATGGATCACGTATTCAAATGCCAGAAAACTGTAAATTCCGATGCTACGTGTAAAAATATAAAGCTCTACCTGATTGGTACACATTAGATAAATATGGAAAACCGTCAGCCCGCCTACGAACCAGACAGATACAAAGCAGTAGACGACGAGGATAACTGACAAGATGTCGCTTGAGATAACACTCCAGTAACTGCCAGTTTGTCGAACAATGGTGATCCACGAAAATGTGAAGACGTATATACACAAAATGGTAGACGTTGATATGAACATTATGAAAAATCGATAATTACGCTGCAACGAAATGAAAACAAAGAAATGGTTAATTGAAATATATTCAACCAAGCACGTTCAAGCTGCTCTTTGATGTGCTCTCACGTTCAAGTAGCAGAAAGTAATCTCGAGACACTGAAAAATGATATCAAAATCAAATGCCAAATAACCAAAGCTCTGTATCCAGGCCCACCGCCAACAAATATTGTCTTCTTTGGACTTTTTTTTCGGGGTTTCCCTCAAGATTCTTAAAATGTATCTGCTAGGAAGAGGTTTCCACACCCTTATAAATAGTGTTTCGTTCTCCTCCCCAACCGATGTAGGATTTCACAATTCATCCCCCTTCAGAGCCGAACGTCCTCGCTAGCACTCGTTCCTCTTTCCAATCGACGTGGGATCTCACAATTTACCCCCCTTGGGGACCCAGCGTCCTTGCTAGCACACCACCTCGTATCCACCCCCTTCGAAGCTCAGCCACCTCTCTGGACGCCCAGTGTCTGGTTATGATACCATTTGTAACGGCTCAGGCTCACCACGAGCAGATATTGTCCTCTTTGGGTTTTCCCTTTCGGGATTTCCCTCAAGGTTTTTAAAACGCGTAGGCTAGGGAGAGGTTTCCACACCCTTATAAGGGTGTTTCGTTCTCCTCCCCAACCAATATGGGATCTCACACATTGAGCATATATCTTTCAACAAAAGGGAATTACTACTACAAATCATTGCAAACAAACATGTTAATATAAAATTCTTTAAAGAATCAGCAAAGTTTCAATGGTTAATTCATGTAACTTACCAGCCCAATACACTGACCTACCCACGGACAGTGGTGATCGAACTTCTGAACACAATTGTTGCAGATGGAGCAATGCGAAGCCCGTGGTGGACGGTACAAAAGGCAAGTCTCACAAAACTTCACTTTCACCGAGTATCCGTTGATCGTTATATCCTTTATTCGGGGTATTTTTAAATTAGGCGTCCTGTGATTAACCCACTCCATAGAAGGGGTTGTCAAGTCTGCTTCATCTGCTTCAGGTGGCAATGAGTTTCTTGGAATGATCCCGGGATCTCGACCAGAAGTCAAGAACAGAAAAATAAAATCCTGCACGAACGACTTACCGATCAGGTTTAGTCATATGTTCTTGCAAAGATAAATGAAACAAGGAAAATTCTGCCTATCACAAACCAAAACTGTAAGAACCAATCCTCCAATCAGTACTGGGAAGTGAAAAGCTTGATGATCACTATGGACTGCAACTAGCATTCTTATACAAAATGTTATTGCAGGACCGCCGATTAAAAATGACGTTAAGAAGAGCGACGTCCCATCTTGACCGAAAACTAATCTCCCTCCACATAAGAATTTCTAGCAGACAAAAGAATATGCATCAAAGCCAGAATCATCAACTCCTTAAACAGTAAAAACTTGTAGAATACAGCAATGAACAATCCTTTCTATTATCAAACAATACATTCATTACAATAACTTCTTCCAATAACATTGAAAACTACCAAAATATGCCTGTATATCTCATGATATTAGCAAGAGAAAGAACAAAGAACTAAAATTAAGGAGAAAAACAAGAGAGACAATATATTATTTAATATAAGAAAGAAAGGTTAATGAATGCGTTTATTGAGGAAATCCCAAGATTCACTAGATATGCATTAAACTTGGATTCAAAGACTAAAAAGATCAAATAATTACAGAAAAATTAAGAGAAAAAATGGGTAGAGAGCTAATGAATGCGTTTGTTGACCTCGACCAGGTAAATTACTATAACAACCCAAGTTTACCGCTAGCAAATATTGTCCTCTTTGGGCATTCTCCTTCGAGCTTCACCTCAAGGTTTTAAAACACGTCTACTAGGGAGAGGTTTCCACACCCTCGTAAGAAATGCTTCGTTCCCCTATCCAACCGATGTGGAATCTCACAATTCACCCCTCTTGGGGCCTAACGTCCTCACTGGCACACCACCTGGTGATACCATTTGTAACAGCTCAAGCCCACCGTTAGCAGATATTGTCCTCTTTGGACTTTCCCTCAAGGTTTTAAAACGCGTCTACTAGGGAGAAGTTTCCACGCCCTTATAAGGAATGTTTCGTTCCCCTCTCCAACCGATGTGGGATCTCACAATCCACTCCCCTTGGGGACCAACGTCTTCGCTGGCACATTGCCCGAGGTCTGACTCTAATACCATTTGTAACAACCTAAACCCACCGCTAACGGATATTGTCCACTTTGGCCCGTTACATATCACTGTGAGGGGAAGCCCTTGAAGGAAAACCCAAAGAGGACAATATCTCATAGCGGTGGGCTTGAGCGGTTCCAATTACAAGGAACAAATTATTTAAAACAAGTTCAAACAGCTGAATTCAATGAATTGAGGATATATCATGATCATCAAAGAAGATCCTTATAATATATAAACATAAAACCCAACGGTTTCATAAGATTCAAAGAACTTGAAGGCATTGAGATTAAGGGAATAGAGAAATTTACATTGTTTCCTTTCCAGACATGGTAGAGCCTCCTTTGAGTAGGTTTGTGAGGAGCAATATGAATGGCATTCGAGGGAGAGCCATCCCAGCTCGATTCTTGGTCCATTTCTAATAGAAAACTCGTTTTTCTGAGGGGAAACACAAAATCTCAGGGTGTTCGTGGTAACGATTCACGGACACCCACATTAAACAAGCAAATCTAAACAAAAAAAAGAGAAGAAAAATCCAAAATGCTTCCAAATTTCCTCTCAAATCACCAACAGCAATAGTTCAAAATCAATCAGCCCTAAAAAAATTTGAAACCCAGATCGATCTTACAATGAAATAAATAAATAAAAAATGAAAGAAACAAACAAAAAAAAACAAAAAAAATTCTCCCCTCGTCTCCTCTCTCCCTTCTCTGATTCTTTTCTTTTCTTTTCTTTTCTTGTTCTTCCCTTTTCTCTCTCTCTAACAATTCCCTTGGTTATTGCGAGGTTTTCGCCTCGCAACCCCTCATGACAGGGAGAGGGAGAGGGAGAGAGAGAGAAAAGGAGAGACAGGGAGAGAGCGAGAGATACAGAGAGAGAGGTGTAAATGAAGACAAAAGCAGAGGGCAATTTCGTTTTGATGCTTCGTCTTGCACCGCTTTCCGTTGGGATTTGGATTTGGATTTGGATCTTGCAACCATTACCCGCGCAAATTATTTCTTCAATATTATTTTACATTTTTAGTGAAAAATGGTTGTCACGTTACAATTTAATCCATTCGAACACGTGTTCGGGTTCGATTGGATTGGATTGTTGACCTAAACAATCTAAATAGAACTCACAATCGGTTAGGTTGGGTCAAGTTGTTCGATTGTTCTTTGTTTTAAAAAAACCTTATTTATCATGCATGTTACATTAATAACAAAAATCTCATAAATATCAGTTATCAAACATTCACAAGTCCCAACTCATCATTAATATCAATTAAAAATGTTAAAGATTCTTAATATTCGTAATAATCTTAAAAGTAAGATAAAATTGAGTTATAACTTTATTTTTAAGTTGGTCGGGTTGACCCAATATAAAAAATGTCAACTTATGAACCGACCCAAATTTTGAATTTTCCAAAAATTCAATTCAACCTAAACTGGCTCAATTATCGTTGCCTAAAATACAAGTTCAATGCATTATCATTTATGTTTAGGTTTTCAAGGATATAAGCCCTTCCGAATTGAGTTATGGACCGTTTTTTTTTTCTTCTTAATTTAACATCGTATGAGATATAGGCTTTTTTTATGCTCATGTTGAAATGAGGTACGAGAATCTGAAATATATATATATATATATATATATATGTTTCAACTTATAATTTTTTTATTATTTGAACAACAGATTTTCGATGTTGCTATATTGATGATAGCTATTATTATTTTTGAACTAATGAAATGAAAAACATATAAGAAGACAAATGGACAATTACATAAACTAAATTGGTTTATCCAATTAAAATATTTAGTAATTGTTCGTGTATTTTTATCCGATGAATAAATCTATAATTGTTTGAATAAAGACTTGGTCGGGCGTTGGTTTTTTTAGGGGCGATTATATGACTTGATAATTCAACCAACCAAGACTGCCTAACCTAAACTATAAAAGTAAGTTGGGCTAGATTTTTTTCAAATTTAATTGGATTGATTTTTAGAAAACTGAAAAATTCAAATCCGTTTGTGGGTTGACATTTGTTCTCGCCAACCCTATGCTACTTTTAAAAAAAAATTAAAAATATTTAACGTTTGTAACCGTAATGAACTATGACTTGTGAATCACTGGAAAATCCAAATTCATTTGTGGGTTGACATTTTTTTTTTTGTTCTTGCTAACTCTATACTACTTTTAAATATATATATAAAAATAGAGGATTGAGTTGAGTTAAGAGCTCTATCGGAGTTGCTCTAATTATCCCAACTCCAATTATCAACCCAACCACACAGATCATGCACACCCTTAGTTGATTTAAAATTAGAAATTCGAGTTCGAGTGAAGTATGGAGATAGAGTTGGTCGAATTATGTTTCTAATTGCAAACATTACACCATAATAATTGAAAGAATGAGATTTTATCGAGACATTAATATATTATATTAAGAGAGAATTAGAGACGCTTTAGAAATCGATACACTTTAGAAAAAATCTAATTCGGGATAGTTAACTCCTACGATTACTCTGTTTTTCAAGTTCGACACCATTCATACATTAATCAATTCAATAATGCTCAAAAGATTGCATTCTGTTAAAAATTCAGAGATGGCCAAATAAGAAGCTTCCTTTAAAAGTGTAGTGAAATATCATGTTCAAATTAGGTTACGTGCACCGAGGCCAAATCGAACAACCTCATCGATAATCGATGGATATTCATCAAACATTCAATTTGACCACACCAAATCAAAATCGATGGATATTCATCAAACATACAATTTCATAATCAATACACAACTTTTTTACCAGAAACCAAAACAGATCATAAATTTGAAAGAATTTCCCTTCAGGATGGACATTGGAGAAGATAATCAAGTGGGTATTCGATATAATCTACAACAGGACAATGAACAATGAACAGAAACCTGTCATTTTCTTTCCACATTCAAGAAGAGTATCCATCGCAAGTGCTAATAGGCATAATAATCTATCTAATTCACATGGACAAGATGGCAGCTACATCATAAACACAACTACAATATCTTACCTTCTCAAGGCAAAAACAAATGAGCAGCTACATCCTTCTTAATATGTATGTTACACCTTACAACAAGAGGGGGAAATTTCGGGCATCCACGAGAGAGCTTGGTCGATACTGCTGCAACGACGGGACTACAAACCAAGTGCCTCGAGGTTGCATATTCTGAAGTGTCTGTTATTTCTTGATTTCATCTGGACATCAAAGAGTGTCATAAGGCACGGTGACGAAAACAAAACAAACTCGATTTTGGCACATCAAACATTGCTAGCTATATTTGACTAATTTCAATCTCCAAACCATCGTCACCCTACCAATTTCGGAGTGACTCACACCCAAGGCAACTGCAGACTCGAACCTAGAACCTTGAGGGTATTTCTAGATATCCAAGCGCTCACTACCGGAGTTGCGCTGAATAGACCCCACCATTTCAGTGAAATGTTCAATCCAAGACAGATTAAATCCAAAACATAGCATTGCTATCTACAAGAACAAGGAATGACACTGAGGCAAACAAAGCATAAAAAAATAAACAAGGAATTAACAAATCATTCTTGAACCTACAAGTCGCCATGGCGACTGCCCCTGCCGCATCAAAGCCAGTAGTGGTGGCGTCAAAGAAGATGAGAAGAGGATTTAGAAGCGAGAAGAAAGGATAGAGGTTGCTAAACCAAAGGAGCTTTTGATACCATGGGAATATTTGCTAAAGTCACTTCATCTAAATGGTGGTGAAAGTTCTCTCTTTATAATCATTTACCGAATCAAATAAATTACAAAGGAAATGGAAAGAGCAATAAATGGATACAAGATATTTGCCTATAATAAAATGTCAAATATGATACCTTTGGTAAACCGTAATGAAAGGCTAAATATCATACAAGATATTTGCCTATAATAAAGAGTCAAATATGATGCCTTTGGTAAACCGTAATGAAAGGCTAAATATCTTGTATCCATTTATTGCTTTTTCCATTTGTTTTGTAATTTACTTGATTCCGTAATTGATTATAAATAGAGAACTTTCACCACCATTTAGGTGCGGTGGTTTTAGCAAATATTCTCACTAATCCTCTAACAACACGTAAGTTTGCCCGAGCTAACTCAACAAACCAAGTAAAATATAACTTTAGCTGCCCCTCCCCCATTTAAAAGGCTCAAGTAAATTGTTACTATAAATCGTATGTCAGCCTTCGTTTAACATTTTCATAATTCAATAATATAAAGAACAAAAGAGGGAACGGGCAAGAAATCAGTCAATACATCCACAAGCAAGTAGCAAACTATGAGTTGAGAGCTCTAACCTCATTTCAAGAAGCACAAGCCAAGCGATTCCTCCCTGCTCAAATACATCTTTCGACAAAGCACTAACAAAAATAGCCTCGGCATTTTAAGGACTCACATAGGCAATCGATCTTCCTTCCATTAGCACTTTCAGGTGGAACAATTCCATAATCATACGTCAACTCCATCATGGGAGGTACATGCCTGATTGCATGAAAAGCAATATGGACATCATGCTCACTCTTATTTTCCCGTAAAATTGGCTTCCAGTACACATTTGGAGAGCAACTATGGTTCATAAAACGAGCAACATTGCCAACATTTTTTGCACTAATAACTAGAGGAAACGGAAGTCTTGGAGGCCCATCAGAATCACCAGGCAAAACTTCAAGGTTTGGACAGGATCGTTTAGCATCAAAGACGTAACTGTCTTCATTGTCCCCAACTGAGTCCTTTTCCTTCGAACTATCGATCACTTCCCCAGCATATTGGCAAATATATGCTCCAGCCCGAATGGGATCCCAAGACCTAAGCCCCCAGCCTTTACCTTTAGTTCTGAATACCTCCAGACGAAATTTGAGACCTCCTTGGGACACACGATTCCTGCAATTGGGAGGGCATTGACATGAGGCGCCACATTCATATATCATAGATTGCTGACTCGCAAGAACCCCATTAGAACTATAGGGGAGATATCCACCATTTTTCTGCATGCAAGGGCAATTGAGATTGCCTGGAAGGCATCCACCAATACAGTTACAGCCAGCTGAAGGCTCTGTAGAGCATACAGGTTTTAAATATTTGAGACCAGCATAATACGTAAAATATGCAGGGCCCTTCTCATCGTCAACATCATTCACAAGTGAAACAGGAAGACTTTCTGCGCCAGAAGCCAGATCTGGTATTATAACCCCAATTCGGGATGCATTCCCATTCTTCCATTGTTGGACTAATTTCCAAGTCAAGAATGCTTCTCGCTGTCCAGGTAATCGCACCAGTTTGTATTTAAATACATTGCAGCCAGATTTCCCTTTCTCTACCCAAGACTCTTGGATTTTATAAAGACCATCATAAACATAGATCTTCCCTGTAGGGTTACTAAAATCTCTTACCCCTCGAACTACTCTAACCTCATTTCCACGATGCAAGCTCTTCTCTAGTGCAAGATTACCCCTTTCAAGCTTTTGATCTGTTGATTCCTTATCCTTTCTGTTCACTCCACCCTGGCCACTGTAGATTAACACATCTGCATCATTTGTATCATCCTCATACCCACCAGATGAGACAATGCTTACTGCAACTGGTTCTTCATCTTGACTGATCTTTAAACCCATGTAATCAATCCCAGCCATGGATGGAGCATGCAACCCAACCAGGCACAATTCCATCCTGAAAAAGAAGATATCACCAATTTCCACACCAGGAACAGCTCCAACTCTTTTATTGCTATTTGTTCGAACCCCTTTGGTCATCAGAAATGCACCTGCTTTAAGATCTGGACGCCTTATATTTCCAGGAGTTGATTCCTTTGACTCTTCAACTTGTGAAATCTTCCTCCTTAGCAGATCAAATACCATGAGTACACATGAAACTGCTTCAAAGCTACCATGAGCTTGTCTATTTGAATCTAACACCGAAAGGTTGTATGTTGAAACCATATCATTAAGCATTGCATCAATATCAACATCTGACATAAAATTAATGTCCTGACCATTCCTTGTCTTCTTCTTCGACTTATTCTTCCTCCCTGCTTTACTGGAATCTTCTCCATCATTAGCGCCTATGCCATAATATTGAGAATTATCATTTTGACCATCACTATATCCATCTTGTAACTGGGCACGACGTCTGGAATTTTTTCTAGAGGAGCCAGTATTTTGTGCTGAAGTACCCTCAGTTGGTGTCCTGAATGAAGATATAGGAACGGCAGTTGATATAGGACTATTAAGGCCAAAAGATGCATTAGTATTTGTTGTTCCACCCGGTGTTTGTTGACTTTGTTCATTTGGTGAAAAGAAGAAGGGATAGAATGGAGCAACCCCCGGTGGAAAAGGACCAGAAGGCCCAGCACATACAAATGGGGCAGCACCTTGAGGAGTTGAAAAAGATGACACATTTGACGCTGATGGGAATACCGGAACTAGTTGTCGCAATGGTCTTACATTCAATACCTTAGATTTGTCTAATGACCCAGCACCGGGAATCGAATCCTGACCTAGAGGTTGTTCCATTGAAACTCTCTCAAGCTACAGAAATAAAATCTCTTACAAACAGAAGCTTCCACAGTAAAACTCTCTGTACAGTAGTTCCAAAAATACAAACTAAAAGGAATAATTCCCAATCAAAAGCTTTCTGGATATCATTCTCCCAAAATATCCTCCCTGTAGTCGATGAGCATAACTAAATAGCTTGAAATCTGAAAAACCCCAATAAACAATTACTATGCAGCAAATAGAAGATAGGCAAGCCCAGTCCCACTAGAGTAATGAAAATTACATTTTTGAAAGAAGGTTGTATTACTCAGCAATTGTATAGCTTATTTACTTACCAATGCGAGAGAATTAATATAGAAGAAGCTGAGTTTGAATAAACGATCTCAAATCAATCTATATCGAATACAAGAGGAGAAAAAGGTTCCCGCAACATTCAAGTGAAAATCAGTATTTTTGGGTTGACTTGACTCTGATCAATCAGCTAAGGAGAAGTTCCAAACTGTTCTCGGCAGGTTTTAACTTGAAAAACAAGGCCAAAACCTTTAGATAACTTCTTCTGTAGCATAGCCAAGCTCTTAGCCCACAAAACTTTTGTAATTATTCTTCAGCTCCAAACGGTCAGAATCATTTTGAAACCCCTTTACAGCTGGGATTTCCTCGTATTTTTCCTTCAACAACAAACCAAAAGGAACAAGCAAGCTTTTAGCTACTTGACACTAACAAGAGAAAAAGAAAAATAAAAACGCAAAAAAGAGAAATCAAGAAACAGCTCCACTTTCTTTTATTCCAATCAATGCTCTTCTTCCTAACAAACAAGCAAAAAGAAACACAAAAACAAAAGAAAAAGGTGATCCAAGAAACGCAAAATCAGAATGAAACCAGAAGAGAGTGAAAACCCTACTTTTGAAACAGAGAAAACATGGAAATTCGGTCAGATCAAAGCCAAAAATGCGAAACAATTCAAAGATCAAAGGAAAAGAAGAAACGAGAATCTAGAGCCCCATAAGATGAAACAAATCTCAAAATCTTACCTAATTCGCGGAGGTTTTTACGTGCTGCAAATCTCCAAAAACCCTCCGTTTGAACATGCGGAGAGTCCCTCTTTTTGTCCTGGACGGAGTTCTTTTCTTTTTTTTTTTTTTTTTTTTTTTTTTTTTT